AATAATAATAATAATAATAATAATAATAATAATAATAATAATAATAATAATAATAATAATAATAATAATAATAATATATGTGCACACATGGATACCGACCTGCAAAATGCCAGTTGTTGTCAGAAGCCAAGGGAGAAGCCACCTCATCACTGGAAGCCAGGGTGAAATGCATTGATTGGACCCAGATCTTTTTTAAAAAGGCAGAAAAATAATAACTCCCATACACCGAAAGGATCAGCCGCTTTGAGGGAATGCAGAAGAGCCCTTTACGAGCTGCCTGGTTTGACAGCAGTTCTAACTTTTCCCCTTTTGGCTCTCGGGAGAGCTTTTATTAAAGACAGATCTGACGTCAGGTTAAAGGAAGAGTCTTGAATTTTTTCTTCGGGAGTAACTTATCCTGCCTTCACATCTTTTTTTTTCCTTCCCCCTCCCTCCCTCCCTCTTTCTTTTTGTTTTGTTTTGTTTTTTCATGGTGATCTGTCTCCACCTCCTGCCTTTCCCTGTCTTGCCTTCAGCCAAAAGATTCTTAAAGGAAAACTCATTGGCCGTACATTCAGCCCAAGAAGCTATAATTTTTGACACCACGCTCGAGCGCTCAGAGTGAACCGACAATTCCATTTATTTATGCCTTTGACTCTCATGCGAGCTCGATGGCATGGAGAGGAATTCTCTGCAGCTCCGAAAATATGACTTTGTCCTACTTCAACTACAACTCTCATCATCCCCCTTGGGGCATGGCTGGGGTGATAGGGATGGTAGTACAACTCCTCTGGCATGTATCAGGTTGTGGAAGACTGCCCTGTACCTTGAATGCTGTAAGGTTATAAGCCTTGGCCCATCTGTGCTCGTTTCCAACAGCAATTTAGAATCCTCACAATAGAAATATTCATTCATTTATTATTTATTTATTTTAAATATTTTAAATACCCTTCCTCCTTAAAAAGGACCCACAGTGATTTACATCATTAAAAGAGAGTCTACAAAGCTAACAACAGTGAGTATAGAAATAATTAAAAGGATCATGCGAAGACAGAGCCAAAATCCTAAGCAACACCAAACACATTCAAAGCAGTAAGGTACAAGAATCCATTATTTTAAAAGAAAGAAACCCACTCATAAGCAGCCATTCACTCAGGGAAGATTTGCCAGAAAAGAAAGGTCTTCGCTTGCCTGTGGAAGGACAGCCAAGATGGGGCCAGCCTGGTTTCCAGTGGGAGGGAGTTCCAGAGTCTGGGAGCAACCACAGAGAAGGTCCACCAAAGGTCTATCCCCCCCAAAAATCTGGTCATTTGATCAATGCCCAGCTCCTGGTTTTGGTGGAATGGTAGACAATATATTCTTCAAGTACGGTAACGTGGTGAGCTGTGGCCTGCTTGTGACCCTCAAAGCTGCCTTTAAGGTCCTTTGAGCACCCACAGAGCTCCCCCCAACTTCAATGTCTAACATTTTAAAAAAAAGGGTTTTGAACACCATCTGCCACTTCATTCATGAAATGCTAAGGCAGAGGTAGCAGCGAGGAGTAGTTGGAGGCCACAACTGCTTCTGCCAGACGGTCTTCCTTTTCTCCTCAAAGGCAGAACTCAGACCAGTTTGTGGGTTAGATTTTTATTCTTCATGCTAGAACTCCGGATGGTTTTCAAGCATAATTGTAAAGCAACCAACCCCCACCAATCCATAAGTAATCTAAAAAAACAGTCCAAAAAAGAACCTCAAGGGGGTGACGGTAATAAAATTTAAGGATCAAAATGATGACATGAATATAAACTACAGTAGTACGAAATTAATGCGTTTTTACGGGACGTTACATAAAGCAGAAAATTCGTAAATCAGAACACAGATTGCCATAGGAACGGGGGCGGTGCTATAAACCTCCAGGCACAATGCATCCTGGGGAAACGTTCTTTGTAGTCCAAAAAAAACCACCCACCCCCATAAACTGAGACATTATTTCCAATAGATTTTTGTTTGTAAACTGAAAATTATGTCAACCAAGGCGTTTATAAACCAAGGTACACCTGTATGGGGGGGGGGGTGGGGTATATCCAAAAAGGCCTAGCGCCTCTCCACCAACAGGGATTTCCAGATTTTTGTTTGTAAACCGAAAATTATGTTAACCAAGGCGTTTATAAACCAAGGTACACCTGTATGGGGGGGGAGGTGTAGATCCCAAGAGGCTTCTCTGAAGAGCTCTATTTTTCAAGCTTTCAGAACGCTAGGAGGAGAGGGGCCTAGCGCCTCTCCACCAACAGGGATTTCCATAGAGTGGTGGCCACCACTGAGAAGACCTGGTTCCTCGTCATAGTTCTCAGGGCCTTCCTTGGGGTGGCCACCCACAACATCACAGTTTTGGGTTTCATTTCTGAAGCTCAAACCTCCAGGGCTCTTCAGTCATCACGAGACAGACAGCCTTTCTCCACAATAATCTGGACATTGTGGCTATATTCAGACCATGGACAAAGGTATCTTCTTGAACTATAGCTCCCAAGATCCTTCAGCCAGTATGACACACATACAAAAATGCTAGCTGGAATTCTTCTCCGTAGCATTTTCTGTTACTGCTACAACCAGGAAAAGATTTTAGATTTGTTTTCTGATGCATACATCTCTGTTAGGGTTAGATAAGTGTATGGGAAAGTTACTTTTTTTTGGATAACAACTCCCAGAATCCCCACCCAAATTTCCCAAGCTTGGGCTGAAAGACAGTTTTGTCAACCTTAATGAAAAGTAAACCTTAGTCCTGACGTGATGTGAGATTGGTAGTCTGATGGCAACAAAAACAGGCTGTACGCTTAATTTATCCTATAGGAAGTGAAAGTTCAATGAAGTGAAATAAATGGGAAAAAATGGCAGCCAGAAATCTGCACCCCATCAACCCACACACTCCTGATGTCAGTTCAAGGGCTAGTTCAAGCATGACTTCACAAACATTAAGTAATGCAGACTTTTTTTGGTATTTTGCAACCACGAAGAAAAATAGCCAACAATGTACATTTGGTAAGCTAATTACCAGAGGGGGTCAAAAAGCCACAGAGGTATTTTAATTCCCATAGGCTGAAACCATTAATGTAAATCAAGTGTGGAGACTACTATTTTTGGCTCCCACGAACCTGACTGGAAAAATGATGATCTGCAATAATAACGCCAGGCCTAATTCTCACATTGCGGATGTATGCATTTTAGCATCACCGGCTGGACTGACAAATATGAAGGTCGTAACTGCAGGATATAGGGAGCAAAATCCTATTGAGCTTTTATGCCACAAGTTAAGAAGTTAGTGTGGGCATTGGCTGTTGTGCACCCAGACATACAACTGGACACATAACAAGAAATGCCTACACTAGCTTCTTAACTTCTGGCAATTTGTCAACAAGATGTATTGCAATTGCATTATGCTGGTGAACATTACTGCAGCAGGACTGTGATATCCATGGGATCTCTACCTGTGGTTTCACTTATCCACTGCCTGAAAATATTAAATAAATAAAAAATTTCCCTAGAAAGAGTGTTTCTAAAGTGCATTACCAGAGTAGATCACTAGAGGGAACCAGAGACTATGTTATATCTCGCATTTCTATACCTGCATTTAATAGCATTCACACGGGGGTGGGTGGGTGGTGTAACTGATCTTCTGTGGATACCACGGTCTTACTATAACAGGGGTTTGGTTGCTGCGTTTCTGGTGTAATATATGTGAATTTTCTGAACAATTAACATTGAAGAGTAAGTTGTTTTATCAAGGAAAGGCACTAGAGCTGTGCAGCAGATTTCTCAGTCTGTTTGGGCAGATTTCTGGGAGGCCTGGATCAAAACACAGTGGTCAGATTCGATTCTGGAGCAATGCATAGTGAAGCAGATCTGCAAATCAGTCTGGATCCTGACCAAACCGAAAGAGGCCCAAATGGTTTCAGCTTATTAGTTTTTTTAAAAAACATTTTTTAAAAAAACCTTCATATGCAATCCTGCCCTCCAAGCTAGTTATCTGAAATTTTGAAGGTTTACTCTCCTCTTTAGAATCAATCAGATCTCCACATTTCAGGTACATCAGGGCAAAATAAATAAAGAAATACAATATAAGATTTTTTTTTTTAAAAAAAGTTGTAGCTGTTTTGATTTTTTTTTTATGAAAGACAAATACATGAACTTACAAATTTACAAATCAATTCAAATCTGGGGTGCAAATTGAATAGGGTGGAGCACAAATCTCTCCAGATTGAATCAAGATAAATTCTGTAGCACTGAGGTAAAGGTTCCCCTTGACATTTAGTCCAGTCGTGTCCAACTCTAGGGCGCAGTGCTCATCCAAGCCATAGAGCCAGCATTTGTCCATAGACAGTTTCCATGGTCACATGGCCAGCATGACTAGACACGGAACGGCGTGACCTTCCCACCATGGCAGTACCTATTTATCGACTCGCATTTTTACATGCGTTCGAATGGCTAGGTTGGCAGGAGGTGGGACAAGCGTTGGGAGCTCCCTCTGTCGTGTGGACTCGATCTCATGACTGCTGGTCTTCTGATCTTGCAGCACAAAGGCTTCTGCGGTTTAACCCGCAGCGCCACTACGTCCCCATATAGTAGCGCTGAACCTGTCACTAAATTCTGCATAGCCTCATTCCGAATCAATGAAAGAGTGTATCATCTCCTGCAGTGGAGAACACGACCCAGTAATATCTCAGTTGGGGGAAGCATAAGCAGGAAGTGGCATTAGGACAAGAGAAGCAGAGGGGATGACTTCTCTGGTGGTAAGAGGTTGTTGACTGTGGAAGAGACTGCTTTGGAAAGTGATGGTGGATTTTTAAACCAGGTCTGTAGGTTTTTAAACCAAGTTTGAATGTGCACTTTTAAGGCAGATTGTTACTACAGAGTGGATGAGATGGCTTCTAGTGTTACTTCCAACTCTACAGTTCTCTGATTCTGCCCTTTGGGGCTCTGTTTGAACAAAGAGGATGCCTACTGGGATCAACTCATGGTTTTTGGGCAGCAACTGAATCAGGGATGAGGGCTTGAGTCACAGGACTCGCTGTCAAGTTGGACTTCTCACACCACAACTCGACTCAGACTCAGGATTTTTTTTTCCAATGACACGGGCTCAAATTGTGGCTCAGATCCAATCAACCCTTACCTTTTTCCTAGGGGGAAAAGTATATTTTTAATAGGGACTCGGTCATGGAGCTTGGAACTTCGGGATTGGTGCCAAAGACTTGGACTCAGACTTGGGACTTGGTACCAAAGACTCAGACTTAGAACTTGGACCCAAAGACTCAGACTTGGGATTTGGTACCAAAG